AAGCCGGAGGATGTGAGGAGAGAAAAGAATATCTAACACTGCACACAAAACTCAGGACAGATTTGTTTCTGCACGGAGTGAGCAAAATACAGAAGGGTGTGCTTCAAACTTGTCAAGGGTGACAACATGCTCATCTTCTGTTTCACAGCATGGATGCTCATGTCCAGCATGACAACACACACACAAATAAATACAAAGTCAAATCAAAAGTGAAACCGCAAATCATACTTGGTATGTCTGTTACGGTGTTTCAGAACGCCAACCAAAGTCAAAAGTCTCATTCATCAGCAAGTAAAAAGAAGCCGCATGCACGTCTGCCAAATTTCACCTCCCCAAAGAAACAAAAAAAAAGAAACTGCACACAAGAAGCTCAAAATAATTGATGACAGCAGCCACAGCCTGGAAGACCAATTCCTCAGCAGCCCGGAGCTCAAAAATAAACCCCACCACACCGAGACGTCAGCAGCACCACATGCAGAGTCCATTCTCCATCGCTCAGACGGGAACTGACTCTCCGCAGCGCCAGAGCCAATGCCCTTTTGGGGCCCAGGAAAAAGGGCTATGTGACACATGTGGGTGAGCGGTGAGGTGTGACAAGGCGACAGCATTAGTCTGATTAAGAATACAGATATAAAGTCAGACTGTGACAGCAGCTTTATGGTGCAAACACAGTCAGCCCCACACATTTCTCTTCAACTTCAGTTCCTTTTGAAAAGGTGATGTCAGAAAACTGGTGACTGGTTTGAGTTTACAAAGAAGAAGAAAAGCAATCCATGTTTAATATATGGGGAAGAGAGGAAGGGATTAAATATGTATGTTTCATATATTTATTTTTAAAGGGGTTTTAGTTAAATAAACCTTACTAATTTTAGCCCATTATTTTGCCTGATTAAAGTCTTCATGTTCCATTCTCTGTGATTAAAATGGAAATTAATCTAAAGTAATTACCAGAAACACTATTTATTTCCCTTCTTAATAGAATCTTAGCTTAACCGAGCTACTTTGGTGACCTGACAATAAATTTAAACAAAGCATATAGCATTAGTTGATTAGTCTGGATATTTTCTTCGGTCTCTCTCTTTGGCTCGCTCGTTTTCCTCGAAAAAGGACGTACGGCACACGCTGCACGAGCAGCACTCTATCTCTGATGGCACTGCAATGCTCCAAATAGCAGAAATTGTTTCAGTTCTATCAGCATACATGGAAGATATCATCGTGTGCTATAGTGTGTTATGCAGCATGGAAGAGCTGCTAATGGATGTTGCAGGGCCAAGACCCAAGAGACCAGCACTAATGAAAACATGCGAGGGGGGAGGGACTCTCTGCAGTGCACAGAAAAAAAGACAGAAGGGTCCTGGTGAGAGGAGCATCTATTTGTGTGTGTGACTAAAAGGAATACAGATGCCCGATAAAAACTATATATAGGCCCATGTGTTTGTCTTAATGAAATCAATTGACATTTTGGGAAATATGTTTTTTTGTTGGAAGACAAGGTGGCAAGAAGGTCCTGGGTTTGGATACACCAGCCAGTAGAGAGCTTTTTGTGTGGCGTTTGCAGTTTCTACCTGTGTCAGACTCTCCAGGTACTCCAGCTTCCAAAGACATGCAGGAGGTTAGGTTAACTGGTGATACTAAACTGGCCATAAGTGTGAATGTGAGTGTAAATGACTGCCTGTCTCTCTGTATTAGCCCTGTGATGAACTGGTGGTCTTTCCGCCACTCACCCCATGACAGCTGGGATTGGCTCAAACAACCCCCACCCCCCCACCCCTGACCCTGACCCTGACCCTGAATTGGATAAGCTGAAGAAAATGGATGGATGCTTATTTGATTTGCAGCTAAACAGGAAGCCACTTCTAGCAACTGCTTACTTAAATCTGTTAAAATTCAAAATGGTGTGCTTTGTTTTATCTAAGAAAGAATGAATACTGTCATACGCAAAACCAGCACAAACACATCTAAAGTTTGATCAAAGTTATTTTTAATTATTATAAATACTGTGTTAGATCTGTATAAAGAGCTTCTGGTTAGCTGGCAAACTGGGCTCCTTAGGTTAAGAATTAGGTAGGGACAAAAAGCCCTGTAAAAACATGAATTGCCATTGCTACGCTTCAGCTTTCACTCTTATAGTTAAACGTAGCTGAATGACTGCAGAGTCCAGCTACGCAATTAATGCGTGAGTGTCTATTAAGTAGACGTTCAAATATTCATTTAACTCATATGTTATCAATCCTCTGTCCTTTAACAAGACTGAATTTACCAAGTGGCTGACCATGGAGACCATTAAGAGGAGTAATTACTTTAATTTCCACCAGTTTCTTCAGCCTGAAAAAAAAAGTGGTGTGGTTCACTCGTGTGACCACAAATGCAAGATCACAGCGATGGAAAAGCCTGGGTGGGTCGAGAGAAGTGGTCTGCGGTTAAAACATGCACAACCGATGGAATATGAAGGTGAGGATGAAGAGGCCAGGTGAGGCGCTGACGACTGGTGGAGACGAGATGACACCGAGTGAGTCAACAGGCAAATGGGAAAACAGAGAGTGAGAGAGAGACAGATACGGTTCCTCTACCTGAGCACCTCTGAGAGCGAGGAGTCGCTGTCATCCGACCTAGAGGCAGAAGAGGAGCAAGGGAGAGGGAGGGAGGGCAAGGTGGGAAGAGGAAAGGGTTAATAACGCTAAGAAAAGACAGAAGGGTTACTGGCAAAGGGTTAAAAAGGAGAGGCGTGACTAGTGGAAGGGATTTTAGATATAAAGCAATGAGCAAACTGACAGGAAAGCTTGGTCAACAGTAAAGCTTACTCTGTGATCATCGCATGGTTCACAAAGACAATCACTGAACAGGCTTTACTGTTTGATCAGTGTCTGCACAGAAAGCTTTAAAGAAACTGTTTCATGTTTGGGGAAAAAATTATTCACTTTCGCACCACGTGTCAGGATGTAAAGACTAATACCTCTCTGAGTCTCGCAGTTCGATTACTACTAGCAGCTAATAGCTTAGCATAGTCTTGAAGGGCAACGTTTGTCTACCAACACCTCTAAAGCACCTCTTAAAAAAAATACAGCAAACAATAATAAATCTCAAGACACTTGAGATTAATAAGATTATGTTTTGTATGAATTAAACAAACAAGATATATAGTAATGTCCAGATTAATGAGACTTAGCGGTGACGGTGAGCTAGCTGTTTCCAATGGCTAGCAGTCTGGCTAACAGCTACTGGCTGTGACTAAATATTCAGTGTACGGACATGCTAGAGGTAGCAATCTTGTTGGGTAAAGCGAACCAAGAAAGCAAATAAGTGACTTTCCCCAAATATGAAAGTATCTGTGTGAACAAAGAACCTGAAAGAAAACGAAAGACAGTCAAGGAGGAAGCACTGACGCCAGGATATAGTCATACGCAAAGGTTACACTTGTCCTGTCCTCTACGCATGACTATAGCATGATGTCAGTGTGTCCTCCTAAATCCACTCTTTCCTGCCACATTTAGCTAATTAGTACAGAAAAGGCATCAGGAATGGCAAACAGAGTTAACAGAAGGGAAAATCCAGTTAACTAGACAATAAGGGAAACAAATTTCCAGGCCACACCCACACCTCCCAAAGAGCTTAAAGGGAAATAATGATATGTGTGTAACAATGCAATAAAAGTGTTATTATATTGTAAATATTTTATAGCCTCTGGTTTCTCACTAAGAGGGCCCGGGCTTTTCAATCTTAGCATGAAATAATAAAACAGGAAGTTCTGGATATGTCCGGAGGGAACAGCGGTGTTTAAAGGTGATGGCAATTCTTCCCGTTCTTGGCATTTACTGCCAGCTGTAGTGGCTATTAGCACAGAGCGATTTGACTCCCTTTAAAATACTTTTAAAATGTATTGATTATGGAGCAAGCAAAAGTAAAGCGAATTCAATTCAAAGCCTCTTTATCCAAGACATGACAAGGAAACTCTGGCTGAAATTCTTCGTCCTCATTTGTCTTTCAAATCAGTGTCAAACATTTGATCCCAGTCTCTTGGGCAACCAGTCTACTCAAACGTGAAAGAACAGAAACACAATATAGTCCAGTCAAAATCACATCTCACATTTTAATGGGTATGTTTTATGTATATATTGCTGGATTAAGCTGTAAATGTGTGTCCGAGATGAGAAATTAAGTGACAGAGAAAGTGTGAGTGATGTCAATCAAATGAAGATTTCAAACAGTAGACCTCTGCTAAGTGTTGCACCCACTGTTTGCTTTTTAAACAAGAAGCAACAAAACCACACACAAAACTTCCAAACACATTTTTCCCATCAAAACTTGTGCCAGTATATATTCCTGTCTATCACACCTAAACACAGTAAAAAATGTTTCATGAACGACAGCTACTGAGTTAAAGCGCTATAGAAAGAAAACATTTTCATTGATTTATATAACCGCTGATTTTAAGATTAAAAGATCTCCAGTGCTCTACACATTTATTAGACCACCATCAATTGTAAAGTTTATGCTAAATTAACAGTACTGGTTTTTACCAAAATCATATTTTATGCTTCTGTAATGGTTAAGCCACCAGTATGCTCAAGCTCTCTAATCAAAATGAAAATTATACCACCATAATATAATTATCGGCTGTAGCCAGGGTGGCTGTAGCTCAGGTGGCAGAGCAGGTCAGCCACTAATCAGAAGGGCAGTGGTTCGATCCCAGGCTGCCTCCTGGCTGCATGCCAAATTGGGCAAGATACTAACCCCATGTTTGCCTACTGGTGATCAGAGGGCCCGGTGGCGCCAGTGTCCAGCAGCCTCGCTTCTGTCAGTGCGCCCCAGGGCAGCTGTGGCTACAATGTAGCTTGCCATTGCCAGTGTGTGAATGACTGAATGTAGTGTAAAGCGCTTTGGGGTCCTTAGGGACTGAGTAAAGCGCTATACAAATGCAGGCCATTTACCATTTCATTTTATTGCTGTTATCTAAGACTTTCCAGATTTATTGTTTTATATTAAAAAAGCAGAAAAACTAGACAAGCGCATTATTATTTTGTGATTAAGATGCAAAGTTGCTGTTGTTTACTTACATTCCTGAATAATTAGTTTTAGTGGTTGAACGTCATGCTTGATTAATTACTCATTTCCCAGAGAAATCCCATGTGGATATAAAAACAGTAATTCAGTTCAGTGCGTTCGGTAATTTTTAGTTTTAAACAGATTTATTTGGGTTTTCTTGTTTTTATGACAGAGGGTCTAACAAATTTGTTAAACACTGTACGTACGATGTGCTGCCGAAGCTGGACTACCACTGAGCAACAAGATGGTATGGTTAGTCAGCGTAACCTTTATTTAACCATGCAGGTCACCGTAGTTGTGAACGTTTGGTTAAAGTCCTCAGAGAGTTTTTTGAGCAGCACATTTGTCTAAACCAAACAGAGTAAAGGACACTAACTATTACTGTGTATTAGATATGACACAGGATTATTGTGGACACGATCCAAATGATTTTTCCCAGGAATCGTGTATGTGAAAATACAACACAATGTCAAGGTTTGCCAACAAACTGGCTCCAGATGCATTGTTTTGTGTTCAACCGCAACTGTGTGCACAGGTGTACAGTACAATCAGAATACCTGACAACATATCGAATGGGAACTTTTTTCAGCCTGTCCCAAAGTTCCAGAATTGACTGAGCAAACTTAAATTATGTGACTACAACATCAGCAATCTACTGATGTGCTGAAATCAAAGCTTTGGGTAGCTTATTAAGACCCAAAACAAAAACATCTCCCATTCCAAGTTGGAAAAATCCTAAGAATGACAACAGCTGCACAGAAACATGAACACAGACATCTCATTTACCTACCCCTGCTCTGGATAATCAGTACCCACACGCTCCAACACATGCAACCCACATAAAGCACACACACACACACGCGCGCAGCCACGACACCCTAACTCGTTTCACACAGCATCCTTGCTGCCAATTAGATGTTAATAAAGCTGAGAAATGCTGTGGATTAGCACAGATTAGAAATCAACTTTAGAGCAGAGGCTGAAATCAACTGCTGACATTTGTCAGAGCAGAAAGTTTGAATTGATTGTAAGCAGGAAGGAAACAAGACCGCCTGCTCCTTCCCGACTCTGCATCAACATGCATCTCATGCCCACATGTTCCCTCAATCCGATGTAGTCAGATTACACAAACACACGCTGAGAGGAGTTTTATAATCCTTTTACCTTTTAAAAAAATGACATCAGGAATGGGACCGCTCAACATCACGGCTGACACCATCCTCAGAAATTATCATAAATTTGATAGTTTTGTCATGCACAGCCTGAACAAACCCAGTATTGTAAGATAAGATTAATTACAGGGCTGTTTATATTGGATTATATAAGATTGGTCAGGCTAATTTCTCTTTCCTGAATGAAGATCATTGTCATGCACAGCACGTCACCTCAAAACTGATTTCATATCATACCACATCCTGGTTGCTTCCCAGCCACTGCTGCCCTGACACCACATTTGAGCAGTGGGCGTTACCATCTGAGCTGCCCCCCCACACACCCCCCTCTCCTGATTTGCCATTGTCTCCTGGTAATTTCTGTATGAGAATTGGAAGCCTACTGCAATTACACCTCATTGTTACCACTGCTACGCGCAGGTTTGAATAGATTGTGGTTTGGGTTTGACACCTGGATTCCAAGACTGCCTGCACCATCTGTTTCTGCGGGTTTCACATTAATGCCAGAAGAAAGGGATTCATCTAAGAAAGGGATTCAGATGAAGGCAAGCTAGTAGTAAACATTCTTAAAAGGCTTATTTAAATTATTGACAGAACCACTTTCCCTTCAAAAAGGCCTGACCTTCAGCCTGTCTGCAGAAAAACTGAGGTATACATGGAAGAGGGAAAAAAGAAGAAAAGAAAAGAAAAAAGGATGGGAATCTTTCAAAGCGTGACCGACTGATGGACACAGGTGGCGTTTGTGCGTATGGATCTGCACTCACTTGTCCAGAGCAGAACCTTGGGTTTGGTTGCTGGTGAGCCTTGAGAAGACGTTGCGGTCGTTCCTGGTCCTCAGAGGAGGGGAGGAGGGGGGAGTGTAGCCATCAGTCGGCCTGACAAGGGGCAGAAAGATGGTGGAGTTTAGGATGTGGAAGTTAAAGAGTCCCACTGTGTAAATAAACTGCTAGAACAAAGTGCGATCCATCTGCTAGCGAAATGAGCATTACATGTACCTGTACGCACGGTCGTAAGATTTCCTTCTGGTTAGGGGGGAAGTGTCATAGCCCCGAGACTGCCTGGGACTGACACACACAGACAAATGCAAGCAAACTAAGCAAACTTTCAGGGGCGTGCACAGAAAGGATGACAGACATCTATGTGAACTGTTGGGACTCGATAAGCAGCAACGTTTATGCAGTTTAAAAGCATTTCTAGCAGCCTAATCTCTTCAAATATCACACACATCACTGAGGACTCGTGGAAATTCGCCTGAGTTGTTTTAGCTGCCACGAAACAAAATAATACCTGATAAACTGCTTTCTATTTTCTGATTTTCAGAAGATGTTTACTTGTGCAGGATTCACAAAATTTCACACATTTTAGTAAATGACTGCAAAAGGAAAACTTTTGTTATTGATGCTGAAAAACCAAAAAACAGAAATGAATATTAGACTTAGAAACAAAATATCCTCATCATCTGAATTCTGCACGCACTGATTTATATTACATGAAGTGTAGTCACTTTTAAGATGGAAACAATGGCTAAATTATTCACGAGAAGCTAAAAGAGATGGCTCATAAAGTATATATAGTGGATAATGACTAAATGCAATCTGACACAAGATGATAGTACTAGAGCCAATCATTCCTCTCATTACTCCCACATACAGATAAGACTAAAAGAAAAGTCAGGGCTTCATCTCAGTTATCACTATGATTTGCCAGTGACTTACAAGGTGTGACCCCTCACAGGCAAGCTGATGGTGCGGGATACCCGGTCCCTGTGATACGTGTCTCTTAATGCCAGGCTGAGCCCAAGGCTCCCTGGAGCAAGACTCAGGCCGTCCTCCTGGATGTCCGTCAGTGAAGCCAGAGACTTGGTGATGTGCTGCGTTTTGCTGCCGGATGAGGGGTCCAGGATTGGACCGAGGTACTCTGCTGACACCGCCTTCATCTGAGCTGAGAGACGGGGCTCCATCTGGATGAAAAATATGAACCGCTTTTATTACAGAGGACCACAGAAGAAGAAGGATGCTTGAATAGGGGGGGAAAACTGGGGCATGAAATAAAGAGAAAAACAATGATTGTAATTAAGGTGCAAAGGGAGATTATATATACAGCCTGAGAACATCGTTCAGCAGGGAAAAGCAGAAAGAAAATAGAAGAAGAGCAGTAAAACAAACACGGCAGAAGTCATTCTAGGTTATTATTCTAGGTCAGCAAGAAGAAACAGAAAAACAAAAACTTTAGCAGACTAATAAGAGGGATTTGTGCCAAATGAGGAATCCTTATGCTGCTAAGCTTCTGGGAGTCATTTGAAGTGTTTGCTTCTACTGCCACCTCATGGTCACAAACAAGAATGGCACTATGGCATGTGCATAGGAACAAAAAAAAACCTTATAAGAAACAACACAAACCTGCTGTAATTTTGTTTTGAAGTCATCTTGGCTGTTTGATTCTTTCATCTGACACACACTGGAGGCAGAGAGGAAAGATAAATGTGAACATGTGCAGAAATCTTTACTGAAATAGATGTTGGTACGCATTTTTAAATGGGTCAGAGCGATGGGTATGGGCCCTATAAGATACGCTGTATGATGTTGCGTAGGAGAGACAGCTCACCTGCTGTCGGAGGCTTGGCTGAATTCAGAGGGCTCTTCATCTGTGCTCGCATAACCATTCTCTGGAAGCAAAACACCATTATGTCTCACGGTGCCACAGGATGCCCTAATGCCACATTCTGCGCCCCTTATTCACGAGGATCCCTACACATATTTGATCTGGATGATTTTTACAACAGATGCCCTTCTTGATACAATTCCCAAGGCATATGTAGTATTCCTACACTAAAACTGAATCCACATATGGTTTTTCTAAGAATCAAAAACGTTATTGTTTATTTTTCGTTATGCTTTACCAAGAAGCAATGGGGCTAAACACAGTCCATCTCCTATGATGCAACACAGCACTTTCATGTGTGAGAAGAAACTAGAACAAAGAAAAAGCGGGCAACTGTGCAGCTCCTCTACTTTTTATGTCTTCCTTCTCCTTTGTCTCACCACATGACGCACAGGAGTCCTCTCTTACCCTGCTGTACGTTGTGGATGAGAGCCTGGAGCTCGGGGATGCACTCGGCCTTTTCTCGTAGGGCATCGAGGATCATGTGATTGTGGGACGAGCCAATCACATCTGTCTGTCTCAGCTGGCCTTCGAGCAGTCTGATTTGAGCCTCCTTCTGAGCCACCTGCAAACTCTGCAGGAACACGAAAGAAAATATAAAAACAACAACAACAACACAATACTGTAACACTGAACTATTTTAATAGGCTCTCAATCCAGAAACGCAACACAATAATGTAGTGTGATACAGAGAAACACCACTAGATGGCACTGAAACCATCATTTCATGGATCCACACCTGACTCTAACATTATGCTGTGATACATCTTCTGACTCTTAAATCTCTTACACTTAAATCTTCTTAAAGCTACACATTTAAGCCTACAGAAGTTCTTTTCTTCCTTTACACTTGTCGGTTTTGAAAATCCCAGTGTATGATCATTTACCTTGTCTATGGAAGCCTTAAGGAAGTGATCCAGCAGGTGGCGCGCTTCAGACAAGGAGCATGAACTGATCACCACTGAGGTGTCCACTGAGTCCAGCTCATCCTGCAGAAAAACACACAAACATGAATGTTACTAAAGGCCTGACTCTCCTCATTGCTGGCATGCAGGTCTAAATGCCTGTGCATGGGTATGTTTGCGTCTTCATACCTTGGTCTCCTCTATCTGTACAATGGTGGCCTGGCAGTCAGACAGGCTGTCGTTGATGTAGTCTATATTGGCGTTCAGCACCTCAATATCCTCGTTAATTTCCTGAAGGAGGCGGTCCTCAGCTTCCGGCCCCTCCCCGTCCGCCATCAGCACCTCTCTCTTATGCGAGAGCGCTTCCTGCTGGGCCGTCAGCTCTTCTCGCTTCTGACTCAGCAAAAGCACAAATCACCACACGGCAAAAAAAATTATAAAAATTAAAATTCATAGTTATATTTACCATCTACAGAAGTCATTTCTACATTTGGAATCTTAATTTTCTCTGTTTATCCGAGGCACAAACTGAACAGACGCATTCTGACGCATCTAAACTCGGAGAAAAACCTGACAGAGTTTTAAATTCGATGATTCAAACACAGCAGCTGCAAAAAGCTGCGTGCCAAGCCATATCTGTGAAAAAGGCCGCCCTCCCTCCCACATTTTAACATTTCTTCATCTGCGAGGGAAAGGAGGAAGGAAGCGCCTCACACTCAGTTTCAGTTTTTAACCGACTACAGAAGTCAACGTCAAAAAAGTTGCTGATGCAACCCCCGATGCTCAACTGCTCTCAACTCTTAAATAACCACAGCGATGTGCTGTACGTTTGAGAATTTGTAATCCAAAACCTTAAGTCAGTCTCGTGGTAGAAAGAAACTACATCCACCAAACCACGTGTAACCCCGGTGACAACATTGCTCTAGCGTGCCATTCCTACCTTGATAAGGCGATCCATGTCAGCTTCCATGTTTGCAATGGTCATTCTCTGCATGACGATGTCCGTGATTCGACGCTCGAGAGCTTGCCACTTTTGACGTGCAGACTTTGAAATGCTGCTGGTTCTGCCTGCAGCTCCACTGTTGCCCAGGCCGGCTGGCTTACGCTGCAACTTCTTTCTACTGCTGGTGATGGACCAAAAACAGGTGACAAATACTGGATAAATAAAATGCCATCGACTCACAATAACCAGCAATAAAGTTGTGTCATGTATTATATTAAAATCTGTATTGACTGATCTGTCTGCTTCCCCAGGTGTTGGGTCGCTAGTCTAATCATTACATCACTTCCTCACACTATAAAACTCAATCCCGACATCATCTCTCTGCCCGCCTTCTTTAAACCGATCGCCCTCTGCTCTGCACACTTTAAATCGCACCGCTCATCTTTCAGACTCCTCTGTGCGACCCATCTCCGCCCTATCTCCGCCTCATGCAAGTGTCTTCATCCAAGCCTCCATCTCATCCTTATCACCACCACCAGCATCTGGACTCTGGGTGGTGCTAACTGAGCTTTTTTTTTAAATTATAATATTATTCAGCTCAGTCCAAGGACAGTATCATAACGTCTCGTCGTCTTACCCAATGACGCGTGTTCCGTCCATGCTGCCTTCGCTCTCTCCCAGATATCCGTACACGCTGTTCTTGTTGTTCCACTGCCGCACCAGTCCGCTTACGGTCCTCGCAGTCTCGGGCTCAGAGCTGCTTGCCGTGGTGCTCGCTGATAACTCAGCTCCAGAGTCCGTAACCGGGGGAGTCTGGTTCCAGCGGGCCACTCGTCCAGCCACTCGATCTGACATAGGTTTGGCCAGGCGCCGCAGGGCGGTCACCTCCTGAGTCTTCCTGCGCAGCACCAGCTCCTGCTGCCGCTTCTGAGACTCCAGCGCACGAATCTGGTACTGATGGAGAAAAAACACACAACCTTTTTTATAATATTCATCACTTTTTAAAAAGAAAATGCTTTTCAGTTGCCTTTGAGATCCCTGAGCTGAATGGGATTACTCGTCACACAACAGGTTTGCAAAGTGTTGATCATGAAGGGATTTTAAGACTTAAGATGAAAATCGAAATAAAAGGATTATGAATGCTGCCCACGGTATGACAGCGTAAAGGCTTTTCATGCTCATTAACGAGCCCTCTTCTCCAGGGAAGCCAAAAAAAAAAATGGAAGTTAATGCTTGCAGAGGATGCACTAATCTCAAAAAAACAGAATAATACCAGAAGTACGTGTTCAGTATTTCCATAATCCAGCACTCAAGTTTTCAGTGTGCCAGCCTACAGATGGGGCTCTGACTCTACATTTACATCCATATGCATTGTGCATACAGATTCACCTACATTTAATTCTTTGGATACAGCAGATAACACTTAAAGTTCTGCCACGATGACAGTAATAGCAACATAGTTTAACCTCGTTTTTATAGATGTTATATCTGTGCTTGTGCTAAATCTCCCAATAAATCCCAAATAATTCTGCTGCTAACCTGAAAAATCACATTTGCAATGCTAAATATAAAACACACGCACAAGAGGTCATATGCTGCTAACCTCTTGCCGGCGCTGCTCCTTCTTTAGCTGGGCTATCTCACGGTTTCTCTTCGCCTCTACCATCCTCCTCCTCTGCTGCTCCTCCTTCATCTGCTTCATCAGCGCCACCTGAAAATGGCAGAAAACACTGGTGATCGCACAGCATCCTTCCCTTCTTTCCTCCACACAGACTTGCAGCAGCCCCTTCTTACCTTGGCCTTCTTCATCTCGTTGACCTCGCCCTGGAGCTTCTTCAGCTCCCGTTCGTACCTCCCCTGGTTCTTGAGGAGGCGTGCGTGCTCCTTCTGTGCCGTCTGTAGCTTAAGCAGGTCGCGATTCATCTCCTTGAGGCGTTTTTCGTACTCCTGCTTGATCCGGTTGGCCTTCTCCTCCGTGTAGTTCTCCATGGTCACTGCACAACCGTGTAACAACGTTAACGAGCTGTAGCCGACACCTCGTGTGGCACTTTGCACTCACGGAGCAACTTAACTAAACTCACTGAGGTTCTGTAGCACGCGATCTCTCTCCAGCTGCGTGTCTCTGATCTTGTTTTGCAGCAGGATGAGCTTCTCCTCGTACTGCAGCTTTAGCATCAGCAACCTCCGCTGGCTGTTCTCCAGCTCATCTATCAGCTTCTGCTTGATCTCAATCTCGCAGGTCAGGTCTGCCAGGTCCGCCTGGAAGTTGGCTGCAGGTTGAGGAGTTTTGAAAGAGGTTGTAAACCAAATTGCACCATTTGTGTGTGTGTTTCATATACAACTGTATATTAAGAAATATGTAAACATTTTCCATCTAGATGCAAATTCATTTCTGCTTTTTTTACACTAAAAACATCTTTATCTTTACTGTGAATCATCTCTCACAGCAGATGATGTCCTGACAGAAAGAACAGCTGATAAACAGGGACAAAGAGTGAAAACAGTGGTGTCATTTCATAACAGCAGCTGTCAGGACCACACCTTTCTCATCCGAGTCTGAGTCCGAATCCACCAGGCTCTCATCACTGTCAAAGTCATCCTCTTCCTCCCTACCCTCCTCTTCGTCCTCCCCCTCGTCGTCATCACAGCCACTCTCCTCCTGCAGTGGAGACATGATGTCCTGCGCACACGGAGAAACGCACAAACGATCAGACTCGTTACGGTCACTTTAAAGCTCGCGAGTGCCGACTCGTGCGGGTCTTACCTCGGTGTAATTCTCATCTGAATCGATCTCTCCGTTCTGCCCGTTCTCCCCGCCCTGCCTGTTCTCGCCGTTCTCCTGAGTGTGCAGCTTTACTCGTTTCTTCAGACCTTTCTCCAACTCTGGGCTGAAGGAGAAGAGCATGCGTGTCAAGCCAGGTACTGACAGGCATGGGATTCTCCACAAAAATCACTTCACCTTCAGCGCTATACCAGATGGTTTTTGCCGCGCAGAACCGCTCCCCTGAGTGTAACTAAGATCGTGCACACTCTGACATCCCTTATTGTGCTCTGGGAGTCTTGCCAAGTAATATGCTTACTGCAAAATCAACCATCAAAAGTCATTAAGCAAACTCTTCTTCACCTTGTCTACCATCATTGCCCCTTTAGCTCTTGAGTTTCAGTGCCAGTTTTATTATCTCCTTTGCTCCCTCTTCTACAAACTTATCAGCCATCCCAGCTCTAAATTCCCATCTTCCTCCATTTCTCTGCCATTAGGCCTCAATTAGCCTGTTAGGCTGTGTACTCTTCTCTCTCGTGACCCAGTAGCCGACTGACTAAGACCTTTCTGTGTCCAAGCCAGCGTTACAGCTCAGCATTGGCAGCATACCAACTCTTTTCAGAAGCTGGCAGCCCCCAAGTCCTAATTTACTTGTGATGTGGGGCTTAAAGAGAAAAGTAATGAGGAAGGGAGAAAATATATGGTCAGGAAATATTTCACAACCATCACCGTCCTTTTAAACCAGCTTTTAAAATCTGAAGAGGTTCATATGAGGCGTAAATTGAGCCATTAGATATTATATTTGCATAAAACAATGTTTGGAGGTCTACACATCCTCTGCTCCTCACCTCATCCTCCTCTGCCTCCTCTCTTTCTTCTTCAGTCTCTCGATATCCAGCTTGGCCCGGCGTAGCACGTCCGTCATCTCCGCCTCCATAGACATGGGAGCAGGCGAAGAACCCGGGGGGTGACCGGGGGCGGGGCTGAGAGTGGAGGTGGGGAACGGGGAACGGGAGGAGAGCCGGCCCACTTGTCGCCGTAACGACTCGTTCATGGACTCGCTCTCGAGAAGTTTGGTTCTGGCAAAGGTGGAAGAGAGGGACAGAAAGAGGCGACAGAGGTTTCATTCATGAATTTTATTACTACAGCAATAAGCAATACAGAAGGGAAAACTAAATAGATAATCATACATAAGTGTCCCACAATAAACCCCTTAATTAGTACACTTTTCCCTGCTGTGGGAAGTCAAAAAGCTGTGAAAAACAGTAAAAACAAATATTGATGTCACACGTATATGTAGTATGTAATTTGACTATCGCTCTCATATTAAGCTCCAAACTGTAGAGACACACTTGCAGCGTACCGTCGCTGACTTTAACAGACCGGCCCAGCGGGCGCTCACAGCTTGCAGAGAGAAGAGGAGAAACAACTGAACTAAAGCTGAACTGCACCACAGTGAGTGACTCAGCCGAACTAAGTGGGTTTCTGTAAGAAATGAATCCCTCCAGGTGTGTAAGAACGTGATGCAGCTACAGAAAAGTCTAACTCGTTCACTGTAGGCACCTTACTATAGTCAGCTCAAAGCCCGTGGAGAAGCTGAGGCTGCGGTTCAGTTCACAAAAGCTGCTCGTGGAAAAAGATTTAGTTCCTTTATATTTAATCAAAGAGGCATCTCCAAAGAATCTAGATGGATAAACAGAACTACAGGAAAGACACAATTATGATTTGGGGATAAGCAGCTACTTAAAATATCACAGTTATCACAGTAAAAACCAATCGCTGTTAGTCTGTTACTGGTTTGAATGACCACTGGTCAGGCATAGTTGCATAACGATACTCAGGCTCTTACCTGAGTTCTTCAACCTCTCGGATATAGTTCTGTATTAGAGTCCCGATCTCCTCGTTGCCCTCGCCTGGATGATGAAAAGTAAAAACGCACTCAGATAACGGAAAATGCAGTTAATTAAAAAAAAACAAACAAACATAATCATTGCAGAGGCAGCGCTCGTCCGATTAAGGATCTCTCCCACGTACTTGACTTGGCGAGCAGAGTGCTGACCTCATTGGCCAGCAGATGCGTTACGCGCGAGTTGAGGTGGTCGATGGTCTCCTGCATTGCTTTCACCCTGAGACGCAGGGTGTCATTTTCTCTCTGCAACATGGCGTTCTCCTGGTACAGGTCACTGTAGCCCTCTGACCCTTCCTCGCAGGCTACACGCTTCCCCTGCACAGAGCAGACGGTTGGCACGGTCAACAAATGCTTTGGCGTCCAAGGGTCAAAGGGCAGACGTGAAAAAACAAACTCAACCTAAATTTACGCTCATACAAATACGCCACGCTGAACCAAACAAAGTGCTGTTATTTACAATGACCGTGGCTCTACAGCGATGTATTGTTGCGTTTTCAGTGATTAACGCTGAAAAAATCCCGTTGTTTCCCCTCGTCCAACAGAGAGTCACTGTTAACCACTGCTCGCAGCCATTAACTCCACTTCATTACTTCCACACTCAAGTCACATCGCATCCCTTATTACCACATCGAGGTCAGCTTGCCATCCCTCAGCACAGTCGCTTCCCTGTAAGTGTGGTAACCCTTTTAGTCACGTAATAACGCAACAACAGAGCTAAACGATCACTTGTTTCTTACGGCCCCAGAAGTCAAAACTGATGAAAAAGTGGCCCCTTTCTCTCCCCATTTCTCCTCACAGTTCTCATATTATCCTTCGTGCTGTTTACACTCAAGCTGAAACATCAATTTGTCCTTACATTACACTGTAAAATGCTGACAAGTGATGTGTGTGTTCCAGTAATGATCTTTAATTTGATATATCTGCAGCAAGCACGGCCTCTCCTTTTATTACTTAGCGTCTGATATCATTCTCCCTTACTCCATTAGTCTGCCTTCTTCTGCTTACACGCTATTCTCAGTTTCATCCATCTTTGCCCCGCACATACCCCCTCACTAACTACATCACCAGCACGCAGCTACATCCTATTGCTCTTCCTTGGCTCATCCCATCCCCCCATCGCTCACCGCCTTGTACTCCATCAGCTCCATCTGAAGTCGGGCTATCTCGGCGCGCAGGGCGCTGATCTGCTGGCTCGTCTTGTCTTGGTTCACCATCACCTTGTTCTTGATGTTTCGGGCGCGATTGGCGTACTTCAGCGTGTTCAGCGTCTCCATGAAGTCCCGGTCTGACGGGCTGACGCAGGCGATCATGACCGTACGACTGAGGGAAAAAGAAAACACGGAGGCAGTCGGTAAATAGTGTGGTTGTCTTTGGTTGTCATGGTTGTTACACGTTGTTGTGGAAATAACCTGATTAAGTAACTGACCAATCATTTCAGCTCCAAAAAAACTCCCTTTTGTGTCACCAAAATTTAGATTCTTCTGAATATTACATCTTTTTCTCACAAATACAACTTGTTCATATCTGTGTGTCTGTGTGTGTCTGTATGTGCTTATACCTGTTCCCTCCCAGCGAGTCCTGAAGCAGTCGGGTAAGTTTGGAGTCTCGGTATGGGACGTGTCCGCCCTTCTTGGTCTGATCGCCTAAAGCACTGATCACATTTCCCAGAGCCAGCTAGCAGAGGTGCAAAGACACACAAGAAGAAGATGTGATCTAAACATGCACAGTTATTTCTTTTGTATACAGATTTACAATCTTACACTGGCGATCCCTGCCTGACTTACAAGTCCACAATTAATAGAGATTCCCTCGCGGGCTCTGTCTCCTGTAGCGCCTGTGCGTTTCAGCCTCTCGGAGCCAGCCAGGTCCACGAAGTGAAACTTGGCCATCAGTGTCTCATACTCAGGCTGGGAGATCGGGCCAGACTCCACACCACCGTTCAGCTCTCCATTCTGCCCTTCTCCACCGTTCTGCTAAGAAACCAACAAACACAGGGAAGCAGGTTGCTGAGTTACTGTTTTTTACTTTAGCAATCATTTAATCACTCTGAACGATGCTGAATTATTTATGTTTCACTTCCACTCTCTCTGCGCATCATCATATGTGACTTTTCGTTTTACTCTTCCTAAAAGTCACACGTTTCCTATCGTTTTCCGTCTCCTCCGGCTAACAGCCGACAGGTTTTCATATAACCTGATGATGACAAAGTTGTAATAACTCTAAATACCTCTTTTGTCTCTCTCCTTTCCACCACCCATTCCAAACTCACCATTTGCTGCTGACAGACTCGCATCTGACAGAGGTGGATGGTGAAGATGGCGTGCGAGCGGGAGCTCTGGGCGTTCATCTGAGTGCTGGCAGTGGTGCGGGACAGAGCGCCGAGTTTCAGGCACTGCAGCAGCTGCAGCACACACACACACAAACGCATTATACACGACATTTGGTTACTTTTATTGGAAAGTAAGAAACCTCCTGACTTACGCATGCAGACTGAGAAACCAAAACAAATGCCTGATGACATCATGCCACAGTTTCTGTTTAAGTACCCATGAGTATGATCACGTATTGCTTTAAGAAGACGCTCTCAGCTTCCTGGAAGAGTTCAGCATTTCCCACAGAGATGTTCTTGTCATCACCGCTCGCTTAAGCGCTAGCATTTCATTAACCTTTACTTTTCCTTTCCCTGCCCTCTCGGCTGCTGGGCCCTCCCCTCACTCTTTATCATAACCTGCCTCCATCCTGTCTTCCTCTTCTTTTTTTCTGTCTTCTTCTTCTCTCCCACAGGAGCACCCTCCCGTCTCTCAGCTGTCTGACTTTAATGCAGATAAACGACCCCAAATTCAGCCTTTCTTCCTCTTTCTCTCTGCGTCTTTTAACACTTGCTGACATCATTCTTTCTCTTTCCCACCTTTAGAAAAAAACTGAGTAACCACAACCACAACTGCCTTGTCCAAGTCAGTGTTTCAGTGTAGCTCTTCCCCTAAACGAACACCTTTTTTCTGTGTATCTTGTGACCAAAGATTCCTCGTGTCCTAATGGGCCTTTCGTATCCTTCTTCCTCCTCACTGTCAGTGCTTTGCGGTTTCCTTTCTCGTCAGCTGTGACACATATCTCATATGTGACTGTAAACAAGCCAGCCTCTCAAGAAGGAAGCTAAACTTCATAACATAAATAGCCCCACGGGTTTAAAAATTGACGTCGGTCAATGCAGCAAAATACAGCCCAGTCTCCGTTGTTATCGCGGACCTCTTTGTTGTTTATGAAGACGGACCACCAGATGGTTCTTGGCAGTTCACACTCCCATGCTTCCCCTCACCCCAGTCAGAGCTAATTCGTGTCTTCACAGTGAATACTTTCCGATGTAATATCGCTCGTCACTGTACAGTCATGGGAGACTTGATTTCTGGACTTTCTGGTTCATTTAAAGTTGTTATATCAACCACCGAAGTGTAAAAAGTTGTTATTTTGTTCAAGATTTTGCACGATAATCTGAACATTTTTAAAATATACTTAATGAAGGAATTATTAAAAGGTTTAATCACTGTTGGTAAATACTGATACACAGATAGATGCTGATCTGTAAGGGGATCCGGCTGCTCTGCTCTGCTGTGGGAGGTTTTATGCTGGGATGGTTTCGGTCTACTTATCCTTTGAAGGGCGGGGCAGCTACAAATCAGAATGATGTCACATTTATCTGATGATTAAAGCCTTATAGCCTTACACTCACATATTTTGTTTCTCATTTCTGATCTGAGCTGTAGATGTTGGCAAAAATGTGATAACGTCACCAATCACATCTCTAGCTACACTCACAGACCCACCTCGTCCTCTGAGTGCACCAATCTGGAAGTGACTCCCGTGGTGTAGATGCTGCCACTGGCGTCCTCGTGGATCTTTATGGCGGACTTCCTGCCGCGACTCTCTGGATCTCTGGTTCCATCGAACAAGTCCAAGATCTCTTCATTGTACAGCTGCAAGGAGCACAACAAGCACACATTAAGGCCTATCGCACATCGTACAATTTGTACACGCTCAATGCAAGGATGAGCCCCTCTGCTGAAAATGATTGTGCGCCTCATGAAACTGAACTATTTCGTTCTGTTAAACTGATTTCTAGTTTCGTATTTCCACACAGCTCTGCAACCACAGAGGTCAACGTGATGACAGCTCAGAAACCTTTGAGGACAAGGGTCAAAGAGGTCAGCTGAAAGCTCAGCTGCTCCCACCTAGTGCTAAACACACACACACACACACATACACACACAAACACACTCGCCCATCTGTTAACCATCAACGAAGATAACCTTTTGACCTGAAAGCCCACAGCAAAGACACTAATAGCGAGAAGCAGGAACGCAGACAAAAGAAGGAAAAGAAAAATGGACAGAAAATGATTTTATTTTGAATTTGAATTTCTATTACATTGTAATTTATTATTTCGCTGTTCAGTTCTCCCTCTTCCCCACACATACACAAACACACACATGCAGTAGTAACATCCCCTAAATAAAACCCAAACATTTGCCTGCCAGAAGCCCCCAGAGGAAATAATTACTCGTATATTATCTAATTTCTCCTACGCAAGCGTCCCTCCTTCCCTCCCATTCCTTGCACTTATGCATCTTCTCCCGCACAGTGATGAGGAATAATGTCAGAGGTAATGGACAGCATTAATCAGGACCAACAATGCACGAGCAGACATTCACGCTCATCTGTCTTCAGGTTGTCACTTCCTGTTTACAGAAGCGGGTCTGATCTTGTCGTCTCCCCCATTTTGTCCCATCTGGTTGGAGTTAATATGGACCAGCATACACAAAAACGCACACACGCACTCACATAACGGCAGCAGGAATATCAATACAGCATTGTATGAGTGTCAAACAGAGTAACAATGTGAGCGCTGCCTACCTCCAGGAACTGGGCGCTGACTTTAAAGTCCGGTGGCTGGGTGCCGGCCTCCTGGGCGCGCATCCTCCTGGCCTGAATTCCCTCAAACAGCTGATGAACAGCCCGCGGGATTATGCCCTGCTCCTGTGGGCTCAGGCTTACATCGAAACCCGTCCCCATGGTGTACGTCTTCCCTGAGCCCGTCTGTAAAATGATTCACCAGTGATTCATCACATTCCTTATTTATCAACAGTAACAAGGTTTCACACACATTCACTGTAGTTAATTAAAATCAGTAAACCGTGAGTCAATGTGCATGGCTATGCTCGCTGCACGGGTGTGTGTACAGACATGTGCACGTTTCTGCTTTGTTGTTCTTTTATCTATTATGTCAGCTACAACAATTCACCAAGCGTTGCTGCTCTCGCTCACTTATATTTGATATGAAACACATGTAACGCCGAATGACTTGAAAGACCCTTTAATTCATGCAAGTCATGTCTGTCCAGGACTTTAATTATATGTGAAGGGTAACAGAGCCCACGCATGAACTGCAACATGTCTTTCTCTGTCTTTTTGTAAGTACGAGACGCACAGACACATAAAAGTGGCCAGCCTCATCCTTAGTTTGGAATCTCACAAAACAAAACAATATTTTATGTAACACCTCAAAAAAAGGACAAATGTAAAGATTATGTCTGTCTTGCCCACATGTACACTTTATTTTACAGGTTGGTCAGGTATATAAAAGCCATGAAGTGAAATGGGTAAGGCACTTGATGATTTATTTATTTTTTTGTCCATCCGTGATCAGTTCACTAGGATTCAGTTGCCTCGCTCTTATTTTGAAAGCTCCGACACTACCCTGGCCCTTCCCTCAGGTTTTCCCTGAGTGACATGAGGCCAGGTTGCCGGCTGGGGGAGCAGTCCTCAGTATCGTTCAGCTGCTTCTCAGAAGAGGATCTCGCCCTGAGGTCGGACGAACATCTTTGGTTTGCATAACCAAAGAACTACTCTGAGCAGAACCTGGAGCAGGGATGGCAAAATCGGCAAGGTAGCGCTACGTCAAGGTAGAGGAGGATGCAGAGAAAATCGGCAACTACCATTGTGTCTGACTTTTAAACCTACCGCTCATTACTTACACATTTTGCCTGCTACATTTACTTTGCAGTTCATCGATGTTTCCCTAAAAATGCCCAATGTCTGAATAAAATCCTTAATGGGAAAACTAATAGTTTGCTTGATTTTACTTTTTCATATTTAAAAAAAAATAGTGACTAAATTACAAAATAAGAGGTAAATAAGAAAGACCTTCAAACTCTCTGTGAATTATTCATTTAAAAAACACCTCTAATGTAATTGTACATGTCTGAGCTTCTCCTGCTTCGGGCCTTACTGAATGGAAGACTCGATAGTCTTATTCAGTCTCAGTGTAATATTTCAGAAGCATCACAACATCTTGATGTACGAGTTATCTTTTATTACAGTCTTCTAACGGCATTCTGTGGCCATGGCAGAGAGATAACTCATCTCTATAAATATTCTAGTCTCCCTCTTTCTCAGACAGCATGCAGACTGCTGTCATGCTGCCTGCACGGCTGTTTGACCCCTTTGTGAAGGAAAAAAAAGCTCATAAAGACAACCTGGCTGCGTCCACCTCAGTTTATTTCAGATTTCCTTAACGGAATCCAAGCACCTGTGTCATACCTGACCGTAAGCGAACACGGTGGCGTTGTAGCCCTCGAAGCAGCCCTCGATGAGCTTGTACACGCAGTTCTGGTAGATGTGGGGCTGCTCTGAGTCAACGTCGAACACAAAGTCATAGGTGAAGGCCTTGTCCTTTCCCAGGAGGACTTGAGGCTCTCCGGGTGTGACCAACGTGCACACGTGGCAGCCTTCTATCTTCTCTTTGGCCATCTGAGGGCGAATCCTGAGAGACGACAACAGAAAGGCAAAGAGAGAAATCGTTAGTACATTCATGAAACTGTTACATCGATTTAAAAAAGGAAAATGACCTGGCGACTACACAAACGGCTGTCAGGCAACTCAGCAAGACAGGCCGCTGATTGTTGCAGAGCCTGAATGATTTTAATGCTTTAATGCATCGTGCAGATAAAGCATGAGATTCTGATCCCACACGGTGCACTGGAAACAAAGAACAGTGAGAATATGAGAGTGCACAAAGTGGGCATAAAGTGAACCGTTCTAAGAGCAGGACCACTGACATCATACAAGCTCTTAAAGCCATCAACACAGTGGCTGTTAATCCTTCATCTAAAGACTCTGCTGGGTTTTCCTTCCTGACAGGTAGTTCACTGCAGTTAATTGCTTTTACCTGAGATCCCAGCTTCAAAATAATCCATGATTAGATGAGCCTGAAAGGCCGCAGCCGCAGCTCCAGAACGTCTTACAAACCCGCTGACAGCTCGAGGGCCGAGTATTTAAGTTTAGGAACATTTTCACTTCCTTGCCAGCAGAAGAGCAGAAACCCAGACAAGCGAGATCGCTGTTTAATTAAGATGGAGCCTTTAAGGACGTGACAGTGCTGCAGTGCTGATTAATCGTGAGAAAACACCACACAGAAATGTTGCTTTTGCATAATGCAAGTACATAAAACAGATGATTTTCCAGGCGCTCTGTTAATCTTGTGCTTTCAGAGGTACAATATGGACACAGTAGGGAGGTAATCACTTTAAGCTGCGGAAAAAGCCATGAGGCAGCAGTGTCAGAGCAGTAGGTCCACCTCTTCACATGCTAAGTCCCCCCACCCGACTCAGTCTTTAGGGGATGCAAATCAACTCCCCCACACACCAAGACTGCACAAGAGACTCCCTATGGGATGCGGCAACAAAGACACACACATAATGTATAAAGCGAGAGAAGTCCCCAACCACATCCAGCTGCGGAGGGATGCTCCGCAAACCACACACACACACACATACACACTAAGACTCTGGAAACAAGTGTTGTACACATGCAGTTCAAAAACAACCCCACTGTACTATCTTCATTTCACACATTGCTCTCAAGCGAGCACCCCACCCACCGCTAACACACAGAGTTACACTTCTGCCACACAGGGGCAGCTTTCTGGCCATCTTTCAGGCCTCGAGGCCCCGCAGAGAGACTTCCAGGGAGAAATGAAGGCTATTAGAAGAAGCCCACAGCAGCACACGTTAGCCTAGATAACCTTATGACAAAGAGAGCGACTCTGAAAGCAGCTTGCAGACAGGCGAGCTCCTTTTATGACTGGATGTGACCTTGACCCGGAGGTTAATGTATCTAAAACCGCAGATCTTGCAATGAACGTTGCTTAAAGCAATTATTAACATGAAGTGGATGCAGCGGAACAGGAGCGCACTCAGTCCCCACGATGGATTTCACGACAACACGACGCGCGTGTGAGCTGCAGCTGTGTCATGAAAAGAGAAGAAAAGCTTTCTTTTTCCTTCTTTACATTCATTTCATCCAGTCTGTGTGCACTGCCTTAATATTAGAAGTGAAAAGAAAGAAGGAAATTTAAGTTAATTAACCCCACCATCGTTACAGCACATACTCATAACCGAGTTTCTACTTCTACCTATCACCGAGCGACTGTGTAGGAGCGTCTCTGCAGAGCGTGTCGGGATTTGTCCCTGCTGTCAGATCTCAATAATCATTTTGCGCTCGATGCCTTTGGCAGGACTTTGTCTCGTGGAGCATATGTGAACATATTCGACAGACCCAACCCAAGAACGAAAGAATTATCACAATTCTCATTAGCTTTTAATCATTTAAGTCAACTGTTTTTTTTAAGCTGGACGCCTAAAGTTGTCACTGTGAGGCGCAAATGAGAACAATTCCACACACCCGGCACGCACAACTACAACATCCATGCGCACAAAGAAAAATAACAACAACAGTCCACACAGACACATTCAGCGTAACAAGCTAAAGGCTCAGCTGGATGAGCATTTAAGCCAGCTGTACCAACAAAAGAAGGGATCCATACCGGAAAACACCCAAACACACACACACACACATCCAGACTCAGATATACACTCATTTAAGGAAATTTAGCGGCTAAAACTAGCATCCAATGTGCCGGTTAAACGTCTGAATCAGACTGAGGCGTAAGGAAAAACACAGAGGAGCAGATTGTGGATTCCTGATGCGGCAAATTGAGGCGTTTATCGCTTAACATCTTTGCACACTAATAGGAAAATGAGTCAGATACCCCATGGAGTAAATAAAGTCCCTGAAAGAACACACCCCACCTGCCCTCCACGTATGCATCCTCACACACAGATGAATTTAAAGGTGAATTTGAATGCAGCATCATGCTTTCATTACCTACCCTCCCCCAGTTTTTTTTTGTGTGTGTTTTTATGGCATAAACACCAAACCCAGTTCTGTCAAACACAAAAACAAGCAGACACACAAAGTTAGAAACTCATTATCCCCAAGCTCTGAGGGAATTCGGTTATTATTACAATAATTATTGTACCCCATAGTGCTAATTAGGACGTGCAACAAGGATGCACAGAGGCACGCGCAAACGTCAAAGCTGCTGCCATATCTAACGCTGATAACAGCAAACTCCACTGACGCGTGACTGGAGAGAGAAGCTGAGTGCAACATGAAGGAGGCAGCAGACCTGTTAGAATACTGATCGCACTCCTACAGACGTCTGACAATTAAAGCCTTCGAAAACCGACATGATTTACGTTTCCTAGGTTCACTTGAAGTTATGAAGGAGCGCATCAAAAAGCAGTGCCTCCCAAATGTGGCAGTAGGAGCGAATCACAGATTTTATTTGTGGGATTTAAAAATTCAAAAATGCATTTAGTCCCGCAAAACGACAGCACGACACGTTCATCTCTCATAATTCAGTTTTACAGGCGAAACAAAAATAAAAAATGTTGGCACGTCGTTGGTACGGCAGACTCCGTGGGGATGCTTCTGCCTCGGTGATGGATCGGTGCTAGACTGAGAAAACGCGCGCTGATGCAGCTCGAGATGGTTTCTTTTGTGCACATAATGCTGGCTTATGTAAGAGCATAAAAGAACATAGATGGTCCGAAAACTGCAATTTGTGTGTTTGTGTGTAGGTTTCAAAACTGAAATGGGTCTGCTGCACAGAGTAGGAACATTTTACGGCATCAAACGCCGGTGTTAGGGCTGTGGTCTCAAATATGACCAAATTCTCACTGGGCAGATAACTTTTGTTACTTTCAAGGAGAAAAGCACTACATTCATAGCTTTCCAGAAGTGATCCTTTGTTTTTGGCAGTAGGATAAACTGACTAAAAAAATCAAATAAAATCCTGCAATGCTGCAAAACACCTGCTTTATTCTCGCAGTTCTGACTTATTTTAGATTTGCTCTTGTCTTTTCAGTTCTCCTTCCTCTGTTATTAGTTGAGCCTCCTCTGTGTTTTGTTGTCAAGGCCCTGTCTTAACAACCTGTGATGCCTAAAAACACCTAACACTGTGTTGATTGTTTCTCTCTTTAGTTGCTTCCTGTTTTATTTTACTTCCTCCTTGTCTGTTTATTTAGATTCGGTTCACCTGTGCCTTGTTTCCCCCAGCTGTGTTCACTCCCTCTGATTTGTATGTTCTTTTTCTTTTTTTAAAATTACCTCTTTCTTTTTTCTTTAGTTGAATTTATAAACAAAATGCCACAGTTTGACAGATATGAACTTGGCCTATCACTGCATGGTGTGGAGTGTTTCCTTAAAACATTTGAGGAAATTGGGCAAGACCTAAAAAAGACTATTTACAGCGCATGAACATTATTAAGAAACAGGGAAAAATCCAGCAAAGACCTAGAACAGGACTCAAAAGAAGCATCTGGCACCAAATCACACAAGACCCGCACTGAAAATCAGTGGCAACGGGTCTTCAAATTTAATAAAACTTTGGGTTCAAATCATTATCATTGTAAACACGGTGGAGGCGCTGTCATGGGCTGGGTTGCATTTCAGCCAGTGGTGTTGGAAATCTTGTCAAAATTGATGAAATTAGAAGTAGGGGTGATCGTGGCTCAAGAGTTGGCAGTTCGTCTTGTAATCGGAAGGTTGCCGGTTCGAGCCCTGGCTCGGACAGTCTCGGTCGTTGTGTCCTTGGGCAAGATACTTCACCCGTTGCCTACTGGTGGTGGTCAGAGGGCCCGGTGGCGCCAGTGTCTGGCAGCCTTGCCTTTGTCAGTGCGCCCCAGGGTGGCTGTGGCTACAATGTAGCTTGCCATCACCAGTGTATGAATGGGTGGATGACTGGATGTGTAAAGCTATACAAATACAGGCCATTTACCAGTAAAGTACCATCAGATTTTGATCCTCCATGCAGAACTGTGCAACACAATTTGCCTCATATGTACTTCCCATATATGTTTGCACATGTTTAAATAAATTGCTACAACCATTTCCCATGTTTCTGACAAGGTATAAAGAAATCGGGAGTGGCTCGAGACTTTTGCACAGCACAGCATTTCATTACTTTTGCTATCATGTCTTAAAATGCTTTTAAAACAGCACACAGTGACAACTCCGTCAGCTACGTGTCTGTCAGCAGCAGCAGCTACACTCAGCAACAGCTGAATGTGAAGCGTCCTATTCCATCAAAAGTGAAACGTTAAATCACAGTGAGAACTGCCGCATGCATCGCTCAAGTTGTGACACTTTTTAGAGTCTGTGAAGGTTCTCAGTCATCCAGGTCATCGTCCAGACACTTTTCTTTCCAAGCGACACTTTTTAGTATTAGTTCAAACTAGTTGTTAGGCTTAGATCACAAGTTGATACAGCATTTTTGAAATGAAATGATTAAGAGGCTTTGAGTGTGATGTTATCGTTGCACTATAAATGAAGATTTAATATGCTGCAAACACCAGCTGTCTTTGTTTAATTATATTCACATTTCCTGTTACAGAAGTGCACTGTGATAAATGTACTTAA